GCTGCGCGGCCCTCCCGGCTGCTCGGAGCCTGCCCGGGCGCCCCACCGCCAGCCGCGTGGGCACCGCGCGCTCACCTGCGGAAGTCCAGCAGCGGCCGGGTGGAGGCCGGGGTGCCCTCTGCCGGCCAGCTGAGGAAGTGGAACTGCGTGAGCGTGCGCGTCTCCTGGGTCTGCACGTTCTTCAGGTAGAAGCTCCGCACCAGGAAGTCCTCGCACCAGATGTGCTCAGACACCAGGTTCACCTGCGCAGAGCGGGGTCCGAGCCTGAGCGCGCCAGGCCCTTCCCACGGCTGCGTGCTCGCTCCTTGGCCTCTGCAAACCCTCCCAGCCTCGTAAGCCACTTCGAATTCGAAATCCTCCAGGAAGCTTACCCGACCACCGACCCACCTGTCCAGCTGTGCCCAGGAATCCTATCTGTCTGTGTCACTTATCTACTGCTTAGGACAACTGGTGGCTTTTCCACCCAGACATAACTATTGTGAGCTTCTTGACGCCAGTTTCTCCTTCCTCTTCCTCACATAGGGTAGGAAAGTGTCTGTGCTACACACACACCCTAAAATTCTGCAATATTTTCATTAGACTTTTTCTTTACTCATGAGCAAGACTGATAAAAAAAAAAAACCTTTAAAAAAACTAGACTGTTGAGTGTTCATCTGGTGATGAAAAAATCTACTATCCAGTGCTCATCTGGTGATGAGAAGCTTCTGTGGTGCTCTTAATGTCTCATGTCATACAGGGGGTAACCTCCTATTGATCGGGAATTGGTTCCTCCTTCCCCTGCTTTGCCTCGGCCCAGTTCCCTACCTGTCCTCTCTCCTAATAAAAAAGTTTGTTTCTATTTTTCATAAGCAACATGTGACTAATGGCATTTCTTTCTTTGCTTTGGCCTCCAGGGAACTCAGAGCTAAGTTAGACTTGATTGAAGTAGGTCTTAATCCTGATCTTTGGGCATACTTATCTTCCCTGTCTCTTGGCTCTTAGCTTCTTGCCTCAGCTCAGCGGTTTTATAGTTTTATTTCTGTACCTTTCATGATAAGTCCTTACAAATGCTTTTGGGCCCTAGACTGGACACGCACACCCACTCCCACATATAGGTATATGTATGTAAATATATCTGTGTATGCATATGTATATTTAAATACATATATATTCATACATGTATGAATGCTTATCACCCACTTTCCCCACTCCCAGGGTCCCCTGGCTGTGGGATCCTGCTGACCTCATATATGTGGTAGAGGGAGGAGCCCTCATCTGGCCAGTAGCGATCACACTGCTTGACACCATCCTCTACCAGCGGGGTCAGCATGACAATGACAGTGCAGCCACTCTCCCATACCATCTAGGGACAGAGACTCAGGCAAGCTCTATTCTATTCACTGGGACCTGGCTGGCCCTGGCTGCCCACAGGGCCCCTGGTCCCTGGAGAAGCCCTCCCTCCAAGAGCCCACCTGCCAGAAGTCTGCGATGGTATGGGACAACGGGCCCTGTGTGGCTATGTAGGCTGGCATCCGAGGGTCGTGCTCAATCTGGGGGCAGTGAACATATACCATGAGCCAGAATGGGAAATGATTCTATGGAAAGGGTTGGTCAAAGGGAGCAGGTCAGGGTCTGGGGAAGCCTGAGAACACCCCCCTCCGCAATTTCCATGCTAGAATATCAGGCGCCCTAGAATATTCCAGGGCCTCGGGTGGGGTGGGTGATGGTCATATGGGAATGGAGTTTATGGGAGAGGAATAAAAATGGGGCAGAGGTGGGGGCAGGATCCAGAGTCACTCACAATGGGGCTAGCGTTGATGTAATCACTCCGAGAAGGGCTGCTATCCACCTTCAGCTTGATGCGGGCGTGATCATCTGCACAGACCCCACATCCCACCCCAGGTGCCCCTCCAGTTATTGGGGTCCTGGCACCTCTGCCATTCTGCTTGAACCAGGAGCCCAGCCTCTTCCCCGACGCCCTCCAGAGCTCCCAGTGGAGAGAGGTCAGCCAGCGGGACTCACTCACAGGGCAGGAAGTCCGGGTGACGATTCTTTTTGATGTTGCCCTCTCCCTGGGCGGTGGCACAAGTGTTGGGCTCGGCCTGGTAGGCACACAGAGCCTGCCACTCCTTGGCCAAGCGATCCCGATTCCGAAGGTGGTCCTCCATGTATGCCTGCAGGGACACCACAGCCTGGCTCTGGGCCACTCTGCCAGCCCTGCCTCCCCCACCATCCTGTCCCCTCACCCATCTGGGCCCAGCCTCGGTCCTGACCAGAATCATGTGTCCCGTGGAAATGTCCATGTTCGCCTGGGCCGGCTCCTCGCACCAGGACGGCGTGCTGCTGTGGGAGCTGGGGCTGGCCTGGGCTGCGTCACTGAACTGGGAGGACACGCTGCTCACCCGCGAAGGCTCCGGGGGACCCTCTGCCCGGTTGAACAAGGACTTTGTGGCCATGTGCTGGCGGCACAGGTCCTGCAGAGGGAGGATCAGGAGGGGTCCAAGGGTTGTCTGAAGCTTTTCAACAGGATCCCAGGCTCAGTTCTGGGTCCCTAGGCTCATCCTGGATTGATTTTGAGTGATACCCATCTGCTCTGGGGTATGTTTCCTGCCCTGGCCCTTGTCCCTTGTCCCTTTTGGAGCTGTCCTGCGGGGTGGTGTCTACAACAACCTCAGATATTACAGAGTGGAATCCCAGAACCCCAGAACTGTAGAACTGGGAAGAACTTAGGGACCATCTGCTCCCAATTCCAGTCCATTCAAAACACCCCACAACACCCCCACTGGGGCTCCTCCAGCACCCCCAAACATTCCAAGGGATGGGAGCTCATTCTCCACCAACTCCCCACCCTCATCCCATGTGAGACCCAGGCTTCCAAGCTCCTGCCTTCCCTTTCCTCAGCAAGCTTCTGGGGCTGCCCACCTGGTACTCAAATGTGGTGTCACCCTGGGCCCCCTCGGGTCCCAGGGATGCCAGGCGCTCCTTGTCCCGCTTCCGAGCATGCTGCCGCACACACAGAGCCACCGCCAGAGCCACCATCAGCCCGGCCACACCCACCAGGGCCACCAGGGTAAGCAGCACTGAGCGCATGGGAGAGGCACTGCGGGCCTGTCGGGGTAGGACCGCAGCTGCCTCTTCTCTCTGTGGGAACAAGGCTAGAGTCAAGGGGGGCAGTGGTGGGGAGAGATTTAGAAGCTGCTTCTCACCCCTGTCCCATGCCACACTCCCTGCCAGGATAACTCCTGGGGCAAAGCTGGGAGGGCAGGGGCATGGTGGTACAGGCGGAAGGGCTCGGGTGGACCCCAAGTCCTCCTCCTCAGTCCCCATAAGACCAACTCAGCCACACTGCACTGCCAGAGACTTAGTGGGTGACCCCCACCAGGAGTATTTGCATTTAAAAAATGGACATAGAGAAGTGGAGAGAGAACTTAAAGAATCGAATAATAGACTGTAAGGCATCAGCGTAGGATGCAGAATAGAAATATATTATAGAAATATATTTTGAGTTTAATGCCTTTTCTGTGCAAGGTTGTCCCTTGGGATTTAGAGATTTTTCCAAAGGCTGTGGGCATCTCCACTAGTTCTTGCCAAGCATGCTACCTCCCTAAGTATGGAAGGCTGGTCCTACAGGGCGGAGTCACTGGGGCCATCTGCTGGCCAGAAAAGATCGAGTGGGGAAAGGCTGCTTTGGAGAAGCGGGTAGGTCAGCAAGTACTGTGTTCCAGGTTTTAGCTCCAGTTCGCCTGTCATGTTTGCCTCCATCTCTGTGGTCATCATCAGCCCTCTGGGGCCTTAACTGATTGTCCAGTTAGCTCATACCTGTCCCACTCCTGTCTGCAAGATCTGGAGCCCTGTCTGTGCTTCCAGTTCAGACTTCACCAGCCCTGCAGAGAGGACGCACGTCAGGCTCTCTTCGGCCCCATGTGGTCCCCACCCCATGTCATGCTACACCAGAGGCCATGTGGACTTGGACTATTTCAAGGGGAGCATCAGTCATGGGCTTGGGTATATCCTACTAGGGCTGGGGCTGAGGCCAGGCAGGATTTACCAGCTTGCTGGGTCACATCAGCCAAAGACAGGTTCTGTTCATTGTGCCGGATGCGGAAGGTGAGAGCTGGTCCCACCACACTGTCAAATAGGAGCTATGTTACTGCCTCACCTACTAGAGACCCAAGACTCTTACAGAGAGGCCAGCTCTGACTCTCTCCCAATTAGAGGATGGGGCTAGGGCGGATCAGGGATGCCCTGCAAGGGTGTTTGAGGCCAGGGAGACGCTGGATGAGGCCAGGAGAAGGGATAGGTGTGGATGTACCTTGAATGCAGCTGGGAACCTCTGACCCCGCCTTGGACTCTTCCCCTCCTCCCTTGAGCTCCTCCAGCCACCTCCCCACTCAAGCTGATTCTAGACCCCTGCCTCTCCAGCCAGGTACCAGCCCCACCTGATGTTGATGAAGCTGCCTGAGGACATGTGCACATGCTCAGCCAGGATCTCCAGGAGCTTCACTCCTACAGCCAGACTCAGGGGCCTGGAGTGGGCAGCAGGCAGAGAAAGCAGGTAGGGACTCTCTTGGCCACTTTCTTGAAACAGGCCATCTCCAAGGGTGCAGAGCAGCCTACCCCCTGGTCTGCTTCGCATCTGGATTTCTACTCTCTGCTTCCTGCCAGGCAGCCCCGCCCAACCCCCAGGGGACTAGAAGGCTTCCCCAGGGTGGAGTCCTTACTTCTGGTCAGTGACAATGTAGCCATACTCCTCTGCTGATGGCCGAGCTGAAGGCTGCCCCGCCACCGTGGGCTGGCTCTGGTCCAGTGGACTTTTCTTCTCCATCAGGACAGGCATGGCAGGGAGGCCAGCAGCTTTGGGGGGCTCTGAGGATCCAGAACTCAGCACCTGCTGGGCTTTATTGGAGGTGGGGTAGGCAGTGGGGTATCCAGGCAGGGTGGGTGTAGGGGGCGCAGGCTCCGCTATGTCTCCACCCTGCGGTTGCTCGTCCATTGTCTGTTTAGAAGAGATGACAGATTATGGTCTCTGGACAGTGGAAGGGCTGGGGGTGCAGTGGGGTGGGGGGTTTACACCCTGAGCCCTGAGCTCCCTACAGTGGTGCTTAAGACTTGTTTCTCTCTCTATTCTCAGGGTCCAGTGCAGCGTCAGGTACAGAGAAGGCACCCAAAAAAGTAAGCCAAGCAGATGAATAAAGGAGAATTGAATGAGAGGAACATGGTCAGTGGTAATCCACAGGATGGGACTTGGGGAGTGGGGATCTCTGGGGAGTGGTTAGGGTAGGCGAATAGGCAGGCAATGGTTTTTAAACTTCGGTTTAGCCACAGAATCTTAGACATGAACTGGATAGAGCTCCTCAAGTCCCAGGGGCATCAGGAACCTGCCTGCTCACAGCTCCCCTCTTCCCCTAGGGATCCTCAGAGCATGGTCTCAAATGATTATATTGAAAAAAAGCAGTGAATCAAGAATGCTGGCTGCTAGTCTGAGCTCTGCCATCAGCTTGAGGTGAGACGTAGGCAATGACTTGTAGTCTATGGGCCTTGGTTTCCTCCAAAGGAGGGGTTAGAGGTTGGAGATACGGATCCTGATCCTGAGGTTTAGATTTCAGCAAGAGGGTTTGCTGCTGTGGGGCACTTATGGATCAGAGAGGTGCTGGGAACTCACTTTCTTGATGTCAGCTCCAATGTTTACAACCCCTCCTGTAGAGCAGGAAAAACAAGACTCTGGGCAAAGGGCCAAGGCCAAGGTCCACACAATGCAGGTGGGAGGAAGGGCCAGAGGCCTGAGCCTGCTACATCTGCGGTGGCCTCTTTCCTCTCAGTCAGTGACCAAGACCCTGTCATTGGTTTCTTCCTTAGCATGGCCTCTTGTCTCTGCGCTTCTTTCTTAATTGTTTTATCAACTCTTCCTTCTGTCACTGGCCACACCTCTTAAAGCTATTTATTCAATCTTCCCTCTACTGGTCAATATTGCTTTCTCCTTCCAATTGGCCACGCCCCGCTTTAGGTCCTCATTTTCACCCACCCGCCTTTTGCCTGATTCCTGCTCACATCCCTGCTGACTTCTTTTTCCATTACTTTTACCCTCTAGTCCTTTCCTGGCCCAGCCCCTTAGCTCATCACTGCACCCCTTTGCTTCCTGCCCTTTGCTGGCAATGACCCCATGTCTCAAAAGAGCTTTCTTCCCTGACCCTGACCCTGACCCTGACCTTGACCCTTACCCTTACCCTCTAGGCTGCTACATTTGGTCTTGAGAGGTGGGGCAAGAGGCCATTGCTAATCTCTCTGCCTGGACACTCACCCAGATTTCGTCCTGCACCCTTGGGCAGCAGCTGCAGCAGGGTCGAGAGAGTGGAGAGCTGTTCAGGGGTCAGCTGACGCAGCTCCACCCCGTAGCCCGCCAGCACAGCTGCCAGTCTCTGCAAAGTCACGTCTGCTGGGAGCCAGACACAGAGCTAAGGGCCAGTGGCAAGATGAACTTGTGGGATTCAGATGCGGAGTTGGGGATGGGAGGGGACTAGCACATTTAAGAGCTTTTTCACAATCAGCGGGACACTAATGTTCTCCCCTTCCAGCCCTTATCCACACTTTGGGGGAAAGACCTTCCTGGGGCCAAGACCAAACTTTAGGCCCACCATGGAAATCCTGACTCTCCATCTGAAAGATTCATGTCAGCTCCACCCCCCACTGTATCCACACTGCCTACTGAGTGCCTGGCACAAATTGGGTTATCAGTAAACATTAATTAAATATATGAATGACTTTAAGGACAAGTGAACAAGTACACAGTCAGGAAGGAGCCCCCAAAGCAGCCCCCTCAGACAGGGAGCAGATGCTGAGGACTCTGTTACCTGGCTGCACTGCTGGGGAAGGAGGCTTCTTCCCAAGACCCTCTAGCCCTTCCTCCTCATAGCCCTCCAAGGAGTCCTCTGCCTGGCTGCTGTCTCCTTGCTCTTGGTGCCCTGGCAATCTTGGTGCCCTGGCCCTGCTGGGCACTGGCAGCTCCTGGGCCAGGTAGAACAGACTTGACTCCTGGAAAAGCTGAGCAGGTGAAGACACTGGAGGGTCCCCATAGGAGTGGCTAGGGTGAGCCCCAAACATGCCCTTGGGGGCAGATCTGCTGAAGAGGGCAGGGGGTTTGGCCTTGGACAGGGGGCCAACACTGACCATCCCTGGGGAGCTCTCTGAGCCCTGGGAACCATCGCGGGATCCAAACTGTGGGAAACCAGAGATTCGGTAAGAGCAGACATCAGGGTTTGTGGATTGGGGTGGGGGTGGGGCAGTGTCTAGGGCTCACCTGATGGAATAGGTAGGGCTGCAGCAGGGTAGGTTCATAACTTAGGGCAGGGTGAGGGGGTTGCGGGGACAGCTGCAGATGCTCTAAGAGAGGGGACAGCAGCTCAGCTGGCAGAGGGGACAGGGAGGAGCCAGTCCCAGCTCCATCCCCACCCACTGGAGGTCGAGGAAGTCGGTGCAGGGCAGCAGGGGCGGAGTCAGTGGGGATGCCCTGTAAAAGCAGCTCCCCAGCGGGACCAGGTCTCCTGGGCACCAAGCCAGATCTGAGGAGGAAAGCAAAGTGTGTGTGGGAGGGGAAGAGGTTGGTTGTGTGGGGCAAGGGCATTCGGAGCCTGCAAGGCAGAGTTAGTGGGGCCAGACAGGCTCAGCAGTTTAGAGTATGCCTGACCTCTTAAAAAAAAAGGCAGCCTCAGGGGAGGAGAGAGTAGCATGGGGAAGGGCCAGAAGGCCAAGCCTGGGGCAGAAGTTGTAGCCTCCCTGGCAAGCAAGCCTGGGTCCCTGAATCACAGGGGCAGAAGCTAAGGAAATGTGAGGGTAGGGATGGAGAAGGGGAGAACAGCAGCAGGGGAAGGCAGCTGGGAACCTTTCTAGATGAACCGTGCCTGCAGCTTGCCCCATTGCCCTTGTGTGCATGACCCCATACCTGGCTCTCCGTGTACATTCAAATATTTAATACTCTGCACTCCTGCCCCACTCTGCCTTTTTCACCCTGGTGTCACCGTCTGTGCTCCATGCCCTCATTTACTTTTCTCTGCTTTACAGGGTCTGAACAATGCCTTTCCATGTCCCTCCCCCTTCCCTCTGTCCATCAGGAAGACCACAGACCAGCCAGCCTTGCAGTGCTAGTGGTTGAGAAAGAATGCTTACCTGTCCCTTGGGTGGGGCTCAGGGGGGCGAAGCCTGGGGATGCGTTCCATCTCCTGGGAGATCACATACTGGGTGAGGTCATCATGCCAGGACAATCCTGCCAGGGGGTAGGGTAAGGTTAGCTCAGCACAGTATAAGGACCCAGTAACGGGGACCAGTAGAGATCAAAACTGCAGCCCCTTCCCTGCAGGGTACTGAGTTTGGCAGAGCAGTGGGGCAGTGGAGGGGGCCTGGAGACCCAGTGGGTGATCTGAGCTGTCCTCCTCCCACACTCAGGAACAGACTTTGGAGTCAGACTGCCTCCAGTAAGACTGGGTTTCAGTCCTCTGCCATTTACTAAGTGTGTGACCTTGGGCAATTTGCTGAACTTTCCTGAGCCTCAATTCTCTCATCTGTAAAATGGGGGTTTATACCTCCTGAGATCGTTGTGATAATTAAAATAACACAATAGAAAATGGTTAGGATAGTACCTGTCACATAGTGAACTTTCAATAAATGCTATTACTATTGTCATTATCGTAATTATTACTCCTATTCTTTTTGTTGATCCTGAACCTCAGTTTTCTTTGTTTTTAAAGTGGAAATAATATATACTTAATGGGGTTGTTACAAAGATCAAGTTCAACCAAGGAAGTGAAAGTGCTGAGAAAACTCTAAAGCACTATAGACCTGTGTTAAACCTCCTCTTCCTCCATCATCTTCATCATCACCACTATCACCACCACCATCATCATCATCACCATCATCATCATCATATCATCTTAGCCTGAGGCAGATCTCTTGTTTGACCTTTCCCCCCCATGAAACTGTTCTCAGGAAAAATCAGCCACCTATTCTAAAGGAATAATCTCCCAGTCTCCACCCCCATTCCTTCTCCCCTGATTCTAGATTAATAGTCTGTGCTGCCGTTAACCCCTTTCTGGGATCTACAAGCATCCAAACCTGCCTGTTAACATGGGATGAACTGTCTGTGCTCTTATTTAAGTCCAGTTCCTCCACTTGAGCACTAAATTTCATCCCTTATTACCTATTCAAGAACATCTTCTTCATAATTCACCCCTATACCTACATCACCATCTCCTGTTCTCTATGGAATTATTCCCATTAGCATACAAACAGGATGAAATATCTTCCATCTTAAAAAAATAATGCCTGATCTTGCATCCCCCTCCATCACCCCATTTCTTTGCTTTTCTTTATAGCAAAATTCCTTGAAAGTTGTTATTTATAGTAGCTGTATCTAATTCCTTTCCTCCCATTCCCTCTTAATCCACTCTATTCAAAATTTTATTCCCAAGTATTCTACAAAAACTGCTTTCATCAAGATCACCAGCAACTTCTGCACATCTAAATCCAGTGGTCAATTCTCAGGTTTCATCTTACATAGCCCACCCTCACCATTTGACACTGTTGATCACTCCTTTCTCCTCCAGACCCTTTCCCTTGGCTTCTACGACAGCAAACACTTTTGTTTTTCCTCCTACCTCACTAGATCCCTCCTTCCCAGTCTCCCTTGGGGTTCCTTTCCTTCTCTTGGTTCTCTTAGGGTCCTTCTTCATGAACACTCAATCCTTTGATTACCTCACACACCTCATGGGTTTAGTTACCATCTATATCAAAGATTTCCAAATTTACATCTCCACCCCAGACCTCTCTCTCTCTTTTAAAACCCAATCTATGTACTCACTGCTCACTCTGCTTGAATGGACATTTTAAACTCAATATATTCAAAACTAAACACTTCCCCCAAGCCCCAAGTTGATCCGTCTGATAGTTAATCACATCTTAACCAACCCAGTAGTTTAGTCAATAAACCCTGGGTGTCATCTTTCTTTCACAGATATATCCAATATTTCATGAAATCATGCTCACTACCTTAAAAATACATGCAGAATTCTGTCACTCCTCACTACCTTCCTGCAACCACCCTGCTCCACGCCACATTTATCTTTTATATGAGCTGTGGTAACTTTTAATGGTTTCTCTGTTTCTACCCTTGACTCCCTACATCCTAGACTCAACACAGCAGCAAGAATAATCTTTTTAAAGTAGAAGTAAGATCATGAACCCCTACGCTCCAAACCTTGTGATGGTTTCCTGTTTTACTCAGAATCAAGCCAGCATGCATACATTCTCCTATAAGGCCCTACAGTGATCTGCATCCCTTCCCCATTACCTACATAACTGCATCCTTATCAATCTACAGCCATACCATAGAGGTGTTCTCCATGGTTTTCCTCAAACTCATGCTCTGACCTTAGGGATTTTGTTCTAGCTCTTTGGTCAGCTAGAAGCACTCTTCCCCCAGATAACCTTATGGGAAACACCTAAGCCTCCTTTATGTCTCTGTTCCAATTTCATAGTCTCAATAAGGCCTATCTTGATCACCCAGTTTAATACTGCAGCTTCCTACCTCACCCTTTCTGATCTCCTTATCTTGCTGTAATATTCATTTTTTCCCCATGGCACTTATCACCTTCCAACATACTGCTTATTTTCTAATTTATATAGTGTATTGCCTCCTCTCATCCTCAAAGATAAACAGATCTGTGTCTGTTTTATTCTCTGATACATCCCAAGCACCTAAAACTATCTTGCCACATAGTAAGTACCCAATAAACAACTTGTTGAATGAGTGATCTGGATGAGTGGAGTGTTCTGGTTGAGGACTCCAGAATTCATGGCTCTAGAGCACTCAGACAGTTCCAGGGAGTGGGATGGTCCTAAAGATATGGATGCTGGCCTCTTCCAGTAGCTTCTTCTAGAAGCTTCCTCTGGACTTCTCCAGAGAGTCTAAGTGTGAAGAGCCCATCTCTAGGGTTCCACCCCACTCCCGTCTGCCTCCTTCTTCAGCAAGCCCTGGGAAGGTGAGGCTCCAGGAATGGGTGTGACAGAAATGTTCCATGAGAGAAATCCTTGAGTCAGGTGGCTTCTCACTTGGCACCCTTATCTAATCAAGTTCCAGTCTCTCTCCTCCAGTGCACCCAGACCTCACCTTGGGACATGAGCTGTCGGAGCACACCTTGTAAGCGTTGAAGAACTGGGGAGGTGACTTGCAAAAGGGGCTGAGCCTGCCCCACTCCCACCTGGCACTGTCCAAATAAGCCATCTAAGAGCACAAAAGTTGTGTTAATAGGGGGCATGAACAAAAGGCCTTCCAAAATCCAGGTTGCAAATGGGCAGGGCATCTCCTCTCTTGGCTTCAGAGAGCTCTGCTCCTCCAGGCCAGTCGCCCTTCTGCCCAAGCCCAGTACCCCTTCTGCCTTCCAGGCCTCCTCCAATGTCTTTATTGTGTCCCCCTGTTTTGTAAATCCTATGCCTGGGCCTCACTCACCCTGAATACAGACTTCGAGGTGAGAGCAGAGTCTGCGGTCAAACAGGCAGCCTGTAGAGAGACAGGTGAGCAGAGGTTCAGACAACCACACCCATAGAATGGACAGGTCGGGAAGGGGGAAGCAGATGGGTCCACTTTCTCATCCTAAGGAAGGGGCCTAGAATTCTTAAGAGAAGGAAACACAGGGTCTGGCTTTGGATTTTAAGGATCTGTGAGCCTTAGATCCTTTCCCTAAAAGGTTCGGTTTGCTTAACTGAATGATGAGGAAAAGAAGCTTTCCAAGTGTGTGGGGGTAGGATCCTACACTTCTGTTCTTACAGAATAACTACGGGGGAGTTTGTGGCCAAATTCTGAGGAGAAAGGAACTTTCCTTCCCAAATCTCCCCAAAGCATCCTAGCTATGATAGTCCGGGACTCAGAGGAGGTAGAAGCCCTAGCACACCGCCCCTCTGTGTGGGACAGGGAGAAGGGGGGTGACGCTAAGGCCGTGCTCTCGCAAGTCCCCGCGGTGGGTGGACCCGGGCCCCGGCCCCGGCGCTGTCCGCGGTGCTGAAGCCTTGAGCGCGGAGCCGCGGAGGGTTTGCCTGGAAGCAGCTGTGGGGAGGGAGGGGTGAGAGGGCGAGGAGTCTCCGCGGTAAGTGACCCCTCCGCGGCTCCAGCCTTCGTCCACTGTGCTACCAACACGGCGCCACAGGAAGCCTCCCTCGCGGCCTCCGAGCCCGTGGTGAAGGAGGGCGCCGCGCGGCTGGGCTGCGCCCCTTCTCCCACGCGCCCCTCGCCCCCACCCTCCCCTGGCCCATGAGTCAGCGCTGACTGTCTCTGTCCGCTAGACGTGAGTCAGCACCGGGCCGGGCTGTGGGAGGGGGGCCGGAGGGGACCCTTCCTCTTCACCCTCCTCTGCCTCAGCGGTCCCTCCCCTGTCGGAGATCAGATCGCAGCAGTCGGCCTCTCTAGGCACAAAGAGAAACCCCGACTCTTTCCACGGCCTGATTTTCTACAGGGAGCTGGGACTCCGAAGCTCGCGGCCCCAACGCCTAGACCAGAGGTCCCCCGCCCTCCTCTCTCCCCCGCCCCCCTCTACCCCTCGGCATC